CAACTCTACAAGTCGATTGTTTCTAGGAGTTTATTGGTAGAGGTTATAGGGTTCTCTAAGTATAGTATCATATCATCTGTGAATAGTGAGAGCTTGATTTCTTTCTTTCCTACATGAATGCCCTTAATACCTTTATCTTGCCTAACTGCTACTGCAAGTACTTCCAGTACTATATTTAACAGCAGTGGAGAGAGTGTGCATCCTTGTCTCATCCCTGATCTTAGAGGGAAGGCTCTCAGTTTTTCCCTGTTGAGGATGATGCCTGCTGTAGGCTTGTGGTAGATGGCTTTAACTATATTGAGGAAAGTCCCCTCTATACCCATTTTGGCAAGGGTTTTCATCATAAAGTGGTGCTGGATCTTGTCAAATGCTTTCTCTGCATCTATTGAAATGATCATATGCTTATAAAAAGCATATCACTCCAGCCCCCTACACTTTAAATTTTAATAACGCATCAATGCAAAGCAAGTTTCATATCCTGTGTACTATTCCATTCAAATCTTTAGTTGATGTTTTTAATATGTAATATGCCATGAATTTTCATATCATCCTTGTTCAGAGGTCATTCCTGTCTTTGCATTGAACATGTGCTGGGGAAGTGAGCACATACAATACTTGTAAAATTTATTGTTAGTGGGCTGGAGACATAGCTCAATAGGCTGAACACATGCTTTGCTTGTTGGAGGCTTAGGTTTGACCCAGGATAACATATGGTTGCCTGAGCACCTCCAGGAGAGATCCCTGAGCACAGAGATAGGAGTAAACCCTAAGCACTACTGGGTATGGCACCAAACCCTCAAAAATTATTGTCTGTAAGGCTAGAGAGATAGTACAATGGATAGGGCATCTGCCTTGCTTGTGAACCACTTGTGTTCAATCTCCAGCATCACATTTGGTCCCCCAAGCCTGCCAGGAGTGATCCCTGATCTCAGAGCCACGAGTAAGCCCTGAGCACCTGGGTGTATATGTATCTGTGTGTATGTATGTCTGTTCACACACAAATATGTATATATACTGTTTGTAATATCAGAGAATTTCTTGATAGCCCTCTTAATTAAAATATATCACAGTGATCAGAATAGCTATTTTGTGTTTTACATATTTACTTTGTGTGTGTGTGTGTATGTGTGTGTGTTTGGTGTGTGTTTGAGCCATACCTAGCTTTAGCTGACTCTGTGCTCATGAGTGATCTTTGGAGGTTCTCAGAAGACCACATGCAGTATCAGGGATTGAACCAGGGATGCAGCCAGAGTGGATGCTAGAAAAGCGCATGCCTTGTTTTCCATTCTATCTCTCTGGCCCCTATTTATTTATGTTTTTAGTTTTGGGACATACCAGGCAGTGATTAGGGATACTCACAGCTTGATGGTCATTCTTGGCAGTATTCAGTGTCCTGTGCAGTGATATGATGTAACCCATGTCTTCTGCATACAAAGCATGTGCTCCAGATTATTGTGATATCTCTCTGATACAGAATGATATTTATTTATTTATTTATTTATTTATTTTAGAAGTTTTGGGTCCACACCACAGTGCTCAAGACTACACATGACTCATTCAAGGGTTACTACTGGCAGTGCTTGGGGTGACAGTTATACAGGACCAAGAAAAAGTGCTTGTTTTGTCAAACCGAGTAGTAGATCTTCTAATAATGTTTAACACTCAATAAATATTTGCAAGTATCTACTATGTGACAGGACTTATGATGGACACTGGGAATATAGTAGTGAGCCAAGTAAGTTCTACCACGAAGGAATTCTTATATTAGGAAGGATAATGGAAAAGAATCCAGGTATCATGCAGTTGTATGCAGAGAGAGAATTGTATCTTTTATCTTTTCAATTTAATATTCACAGCTTGTCTGGGCACTGGGTAGATGAGAAAACCAAGGGAGAAAGCCACCATTCCTTTTCTCATGTTTCTTTCAGTCTAGTTGGGGAGAAAGACAGGTAAACAGACAGTTATAATGTGCTGTTACCATGAGAGAAGAACATCTAGAAGGCAACAGACTCAACTTGATGTGGTGAGGAAAGGAGCTAATTCATGTTACATATCCTGAGGTGAGAAGGAGACGAGGGGAGGGAGAATGCTACAGAGGTCAGGACTGTGTATGCTTTATTGAAACAGCTTAACACTGGAGCACTTGCTTTCATGTACCCTGGGTTTCATCCCAGCACCGCACACACACAAAACATGAAATGGCTGGGACTTGAGAGATAGCACATTAGGTTGGAGCAATTGCATTGCATACAGGAGCTCTGTATCCAATCCCTGGCACTACATGTTCCCCTGAGCACTGGAATTAGAGTAACTCCCAAGCCGGGTTCGATTCCTCCACCCCTCTCGGAGAGCCCGGCAAGCTACCGAGAGTATCTCGCCTGCACAGCAGAACCTGGCAAGCTACCCATGACGTATTCAATATGCCAAACACAGTAACAAGTGTCACAATGGAGACGTTACTGGGCCCACTCAAGCAAATCAATGAACAATGGGAGGACTGCTTAAAAATATTGTGAAACTAGAATATATATCTAAAATAAAAACATGCTGAATTTTCAAAAAAAATATTAAAAAATGTATGAAGTTAGCATTGTCTGGTACTTATTTTTAACTTTTGTCACCAATGTTCATTTTTGTTTGCAGGAAGCACACTCAGCAGTGTTGGGCAGCTTCTCCTGGCTCTGTGGCTGGGGATTGCTCCCAAGGGAGCAGGGGGACCATGCAGTGCCAGGGATAGAACCCAGGTCTCCAAAATGAAAAACATGTGCTTGGCCTATTTAAATATCTTTTGGCCTACACAGAAATTTTCTAAGAAGAAAACAAACATGAAATATTTCTATCATGTAGGGTCCCCCCCCACTCCCATGTAATTTGCACAGTTGGAGAAGTGCTTATTTAACAGTGTCATAACATTATCTCTCGTGGTTTGTGGAATGACAGATTTTCATGAGGTCATAGACAGAGAAATCCCCAATCTAAAATAGTATTAACAGGAATCTGAGTGTCTCTGCACGGTCTAGAAAGAGAAACTTAGTGGAGAAAACACATCCTCATAGTCCAGCACTGATTGAGGAAAGAAACTTAAGTATGGTAGGAACATACTTCCCATTTCTGAAGAAGAAGCACAGGGTACAGATCATTCTTGGACCATTTGACAGTCCATCATGCTGTCCCTACAAAAGGATTTATTAAATTGGATTTTGGAAGACCAAATTAGAAATCAGCATCTTCTGGGTCCGATCAGACAGTGTCAAGTTCTGGGGCTCTAGCATACCTGAAGGACCTGTTGAGGTTCAGTAGCCTACAAAACTATCTTGAGTCCCCATGATCCCACTAAATCACTGATTTAGCAGGACAGCCATCCACTTTCCTGGCATCTTATTTGCTGCAGTATTTGATACTAAAGTTCTGTCTTTCAGCCTCTCAGAGACCATAACATGGAAGGCAAGATATTAGAACTGTTTTCATAGAACTCTGGGAGGTGAATGGGGCGGGAGGAGAAGCAATGAAATTGTCGAGGAGGCGTGTCCCTTAAAGTCTCATCTTGACTTTGCCATTTCATTGTTTTTTCTGTCCTGTTCCCCCTTATTTTTCTTGAGGAAGTTCTACTTTTCCTGTATCTCTTCTAGTATGCATATTCTAAAATGACACCTTTATGTGTAAATCAGAAGGCATCTTCTATCCTTAGTTTATTGTTTTGGAGCAGCTTTGAATGACAGGAAAAAGATTCCCACAAGAATTAAATCCCTATAGGCAACTTGGTCAAACTCATAAAGAGGCACTGGGGTGTGGGGTGTTGCAGAGGGGAGGGTGCACAAACAAAAAGCATTTGCCCCCTTCAAGAACTCACAAGGTATGACAGAATGGCTGGTGCACAAGAGCAGTGGGCCATGACAGAAAGTCCTGACCCCATGCCAGGCTGTCTTCACTTGGGCAACTTGGAGGGGGGAGGGGGAGTTTCCCTCCCTACCCCAGCAGAATCCCAGCAGCCAAAAGCCTCCAGAACCCAACCACATCCATGTTCAAGGCCACTCTCCACAAGTTTCCTCACCTATGAGGAAACTTTCAGAAAAACCCAGATATGCGGGACCCAAGATTGAGATCTCCAAGCTCACTGGGAATGGGACTGGGCCTCCTCCCCCAAGTTCCCCTGTTTTCCAGTAACTTGGCAGTCACACTCACAAATTGCCTCTGGCAACATGTAATCTCATCAATGGCCAAAATCCAGAGACTATGAAATAAAGCTCCCAGAAGAGAGCCGCACAGAACATCCTGGAGTGCACAGCTGCATTCACAGCTGTGTGACCTCTTATACTCTAGCCCACTGATGTACCAAATGTATCACACATTTGTTTGGTTTTAACATATCATGTTTGTAATCTCTTATATAAGGGCTTAAATGGCTCCAGGATGAAATACAACAATCTTCACACAGTTTCCTCTTATGGTGGTGGGAAGGTGCATGGTGGTGGGATTGGTGTTTGAAGATTTTCTGTAATGAACTATTGTGAACAACTGTATATATATATATATATATATATATATATATATATATATATAGTTTTATATATATATGGGATAAAACTGCCACGCAGACTCCAGAGGTCTGAGGTGATTAGGGCAGATGGGACAAGATATGTGGGGACTTTGCTGGGGATGGGAGTCTGAGAAACTGTACAGACAGATTACCAAGATTGAAGTGCCTTTAGGACAAATTTAAGTGCCCTCACTTACCAGGGAGGACAAGAATAAGTGTGTTAATAACAAAATCATTTCTCATGGTGAGTCTTATGAAACCCTGTAGTCCTCCTATGGAAACTTTCTGGACAAAAGTCCAGAAAGGCCAGACTCCACTTGGTCTTAGGGCTGAATCAGCAACTTTCTTCAATGCTGTCATCTGATAGTGAAGCGTCTTCATCTAAAGTTCAGGAAGTGCTTATTTATGAAATTTCATAAATCTCAGATCATGAATACCTGCTAAGTTTCAACCCTTGGTTGTTTTAAAATAAGTTGTGCGAATGCTTTCCATTTTGCGAAAAAGAAGAAATGGTTGTTTCAGAATGATTGTTTGCCACATTTGTAGATATTTCAACATCATCATAATCATCTTCAGGCTCAAAATAGCTGGGAATGGAAACTATCTTCTTCTTTCTAACTTTATTTACTGATGAATATGTCTTTGGCAGTTGATTCATGGCTTCCTGTGGGGCTAGAATTAAAAAATAAGAGAGAGTCTTGACATGCAAAGCTTCTATTTGTTTACATATTTTTAATCAAATAAATCAGCATGATTTTCATGAGCTTTGGTGATCTTTTCACTACTACAAATCTCCATTTTACAAAAGAAACTGAAATATAGATATTACCCAGTCTAACCCAAGTGAGCACAAATTCATCAGATCTCTTGACTCTCCTGTCCCTCAATTTTAGACTGTACTTTTGTAAGAACCATGACACAGAAGTTAAGACAACAGCAAGTTGCCAAATTAGTAGTGTTATATCCACAGAACCAAATTTTCATAAGGAAGACATGGAACCATACTTCTCTTTAGGTATATCTCTCACAAGTGGCTTACACTGTCTATATTGCTCATCTATGACTCTCCTTACTAGGAAGGAATATCACTGTGGTATTACTGATGGTGGAATTAGGGCAGGTTTCTAAAGTAACTAAGATACCTAGATAAGTTTGTTACTTACCCTGAGTGAGAATGTTAACAAGATATACTTACAAACATCTTCAGGAGAAAGTAAACGCCTAGGTGGCAAGGGTGGCAATTGAACTGACAATTGACTATGAACATTCCTGGAGAGAGAAAGAGAGTGAATTTGTTGTTTAGTTTTGACCATGTCCACTGTCCGTGAGTTAAAGGAAAATATCAAAGAAAGTAGGAGTTGAAATTTGAAATCTATTTTCTAAATATTGAAATAAATCTCTTCCTTTCATAGCTCTTATCTCCCATCTGTAAACTAAAAAAACCTGTTTCCTCTAACCCAGGATATTAGAAGCAAGGGTGTTGAAACATATTTTGTACACTTGAGATGTGTTAGGAAGGAAGTACTAGTTGTTTTTAATTTGCAAAATATATATTCTCCTGAAGTTAAATGTACATACACTGTGTGACAGAAATTCCACTCTGCATTTACATAAATGTTTGCATATGTTCACTAAAATACATGTACTTGAATCTATGAAGTATCTGCAAAAAAATGAGAATGAACAACGTACACACAATAAAGTCTACAAAATATGTTGGGCAAAAGAACACTGAATATGCTACATAAACACTTAAATAAAACATAAAAAGCAAGAGAGGCCAGGGGAAACAGTACAAGAGTTAAGGTACTTGCCACAAGGAAATCTATTGATCTGCTGTCCACTGTTCTGCAACTTGCGCTTACCTCTCTCTTTCTCTTTCAAACTGTCTTTTGCCTTGTTCTTTCAAGCCCATGTTATGTATCTTTCTTGCTTTTCTCTATGTCTCTTACCGCGTGGGTTTGCTCTTTCAAGTCTACATTCTCCCTTGAACACATATCTTTCTATATTTCTTTGCTTGTGTGATCTTGCTTCATTGGGTAGGATACTTGCCTTGCTCAGGTTCAAAGCTTGGAACCCCATATGGTTCCCTGAGCCCTGACTGGAGTGATCGCTGAGCACAGAGCCAGGAGTAAGCCCTGAGCACCTCTCAGTATGGCAAAAAAAAAAAAAAGCCAAAACCAACAACATAAAACTATCTTGCTTCACTAATAAATAAAAACCTCATCTTGTGAATATGCAGGCAAGAGGTTGCTTTGAGGTAGGCAAGAGGTTGCTTTGAGGTAGGCAAAAGATTGCTTTGAGGACATGAATTGGTCCTCTTCCAATCTGTTAATGTATTACCTATAAAGCTCTCTCTTGATCTGTCACTATACCTCTAGTGGCAGATGAATCAGAACTTTGCAGTCACAAGACCTTTATTTGGTTTAGTCAGAATGTATGGGAATCTGTCAAACAACAAAAGATCTCTCTCTCTCTCTCTCTCTCTCTCTCTCTCTCTCTCTCTCTCTCTCCCCGGAGGGGGAATGGAAGAGGGAGAGGGGGAGGGGGAGAGAGAGAGAAAGAGAGAGGTATTTTTTGTTTGTTTTGCTTTTTGGGTCATACCTGGCATTGCTCAGAGGCTACTCCTGGCTCTGCACTCAGGAATTATTCCTGGCAGTACTCAGGGGACCATTTGGAATGCCAGAGATTGAACCTCAGTTGGCCATGTGCAAGGCAAACGCCTTACCCACTGTACTATCACTCTGACTCCAAGGGAAAGGCCTTTTTTAATGGGAAAATATTGTTTTATTTTTTCTACAAAGAAAGAAGGACCCACAATTTCCTTCAGTAGAAGCTCACAGAGGTATAAAAAGGTATTAATTATAATCATTAACTTTATGTCCTAGGGGCACAGTGACCTTTGCCCCAACACAGCACATTGAGTATTCTCAGCTGATTTGGTTTACAGAGGTGGGAAGAGGTGGTGATGGGATGTCTGGTGGGTCCAGGACTGATGTGTTCCTTAGAATGTAAAACTTTTTAGTGCAGAAAATCAGGACATTTCCAGCACAAGTAACAGGATACAGGGGCAAAAACAAAAAATAGCCATAACCACCTCCCCAGCTCAGAGTGATACATAAGAATATCAACCCAAATACAAGGACTAGACCCTTTTCAGTTGAAGTCTCAGGAAGAACAAAAGTCATGATAATACTTAAATGAAACCATTGGTCCTTTCTTAACAAGACCCTATATATATATATATATATATATATATATATATATATATATATATTAAGCCTCAAGAAGCTCCAGGTGTGTCCCAGAAATACACACACATACATGTATGTGTGTGTATTTCTGGGACACACCTGGAGCTTCTTGAGGCTTACTCTTCAGGGTTAACTCTTGGTGGGTTCAGTAGACCATATGGGTTTCTGGAGATTGAACCCAAATGGGCCTCATGCAGGCCAAGCATCCTGCCTACTGTACTATCTCTCTGGCCACATAAGACTTTACCCTTTAAAATAAGAGTAAGGAAAACATTACCAGTGACTCCATGGGAGATTAGCATTGCAATATGGGCACCAGCCTAGAAGTGAATAGGCAGTTCTCAAGATTAAAATGCATAACTATTTTTTCTATACTTACGCATACATTTTTTCTTCATCTCTTTGGTTTTGTTTCAAGTTCTTGGTAATCTCTGACTTCTTATCTAAAAAAAAGAAACAAACAGTCAAACAAGGGGTCCTTTGGCAATGAATTTTAGGAAGACACACACACACACACATATCTAGAAAAGTTTGAGATGTTCCTGCCTCAAGCCCTTAGTTCCAACTCAAATACATAAGAATATCAACCCAAATACAAGGACTAGAACCTTTTCAGTTGAAGTCTCAGGAAGAACAAAAGTCATGATAATACTTAAATGAAACCATTGGTCCTTCCTTAACCAGACCCTAACAATACTCTTACCTGCGTACAAAGTCCCTGGTGTCCTGGAAAAGACCAGTAATTCAGAGAGGCAGTTCCTGCATTCTCCATTCTGAGGTCACCCACCTCCCAACTTGTGGTGCATAATTTCTTTTATTTTTCAGTCCACTTTGGAGTTGCCCACACATCCTAACTTGGGTTACATAATTTCTTTTCTTTATGAAGTTTTCTTCTCTCCCATAATTCCACAATGAAAGAAATTTTGCTTCTTTGGCAATATTCCCCTGAAATATTTTACTGTGGTAATAGGTAGTAAATCTAGGACCTCAGTGTAGATTGGAACTGATTTCCCCCATCCGCCAAACACACACCCTACACCCACCCCAGTCCTGACCCTTCCAAGTTCTTCAATTGGCAAACTTGTTGTGGGAAAATAAGGTTATTCACTTAGGAAGATTTAACAAAAAGCTAATTTTGGAGTTTAACAGTCTTCAGAGAGCAGGTGGATTCAACACATTTGGAAGAATTATCAAGAAGAAATAAACGGGAAAACAGTAAATGGTAAAACTGAAATTTTTTAAAAATTTTTTACTGTATTTTATTAATACACTGATTTGAAAATTATTCATAGGTAAATTTCAGACACAGAATGTGCTAGCACCAATCCCACCACCAGTTTCAACTTTTCTCCACCAATGACCCCAGGTTCCCCCCCCCTCCCCCGCATCTTCCACCCAAACTGCTACTTGACAGGCACACTTGCAAGTTTGTTATACTTTGTATCTTCTACTCTCAATGTTTCTGGCTCTGTGATTTAGGTACACCACACCTTCCTCCCTCTGATGTGCCCAAGGCCCCTGCCACCAACCCTTGTTATTTCCCACCTGTCTCCTCTTACTTGGTTCATTTCCTTCGCTGCCTTCTCCTTCCTGTACTCTATGGTTCAATACTGATCTAGGTGACTCCCTTTAATACCTTGCATTCACTCATTCTGTTATATACCATAGATAAGTGAGATTATTGTTTGTTCTTCTTATTTAACTTAATATGAGATCTTCTATTCCATCCAAGTTGCAGGAAATTGTACAATTTCATCCTTCCTTGCAATTGTGCATTCCACTGCATATATATATCACACCTTCATTATCCAGTCGTCTGTCACTTAATGCGTAGCTTGTTCTATATCCTAACTATTGTGTTAAGTTCTAGGAAGCAATATTCTGAGTCAAAGAAAGCTGACTTTACTCTGTGAGTAGGTGGGTGAGTAGGTGGGTCCTCCTGGCTTGTCTAGCCAATGACGACTCCTCATTCACTTCTCATCATTAACCTGTGAAGGAAACTGGTGTAAATTTAGGGCACGGGGGTTGTAAAGTGAGGTGGAGATGGATTGCATGCAAAGAAAGACCTCAACCACCAGAGCAAGACAGCCAGCACAAAACAGTTAGTTTTATGCAAAACTATTTGTTCTTCATTATCTCATAAGTTTAACTGCAAATTAGCTTGTGTAAACCCACTTACTTGCTTGCTACCACAACTGAAGACATAAAAGCAGAGTAGACTCATTGTCTGGGGAATTGACAGGATGAGCCAAACTCATGGTCTGTACAAATAAACTTCTTTCTCTTTCACCCTTGTTGGCCTGCAATCTTGGACTTTCCCTAACAAACCCTTCAGTTAGATCATAGACTTTTGCCCTAATCCAATCAAGACAGGACTGAGAAGATTGTAGTTTATTTTATCATTGCCAAGTAATCTGTCTGCCATGTAGCTGGCACTCAAAAATATTGGTCAAATATGGGCCAGACAAATAGTACACTGGCAGGGCCTTTGCCTTGCATGTGGCCTCTAGGTTTGATCCCTGGCATTCCATTTGGTCCCTGAACCTGCCAAAAGTGATTCCTGAGTGCAGAGCCAGGAGTAATCCCTGAGCACAGCCAGATATGGTCCAAAACAACCAACCAACAAACAAACTCTATCTATCTATCTATCTCTATATGTATCTCTCTCTCTCTCTATATATATATATATAGGTAGAAATGTGGAGGATAGGACATCAGATAAGGTATGGGGAAAATGTATAAATGGTGACATGCTCTATGTATAAATTTTTGTTCATTATGGCCTGCTAATTATTGAGTGGGTGAAAAAACAATATGTAAATCTTTTGTTCAGGATGTGTAATAAAATTTTGTAGAAGTCATTTTTGTTTTGTTTTGTTTTTTAGGTCACACCTGGTGACACTCGGTGATACGGTTGGCTGGGTGCAAGGCAAGTGCCTTACCTAATTGTATTTTCTCTCTAACCCCTACATAAGCCTTTTTTAAGTCAACCTTTACATCTGATTGTTCCAGCAGTTACAGCTCATCTAAATATTAATCTTGCTAAGATTGAAACAGGGCTAAAGACCAGTATTAGACAAGTAAACAGTCCTTGCCCCAAAGCCTAAAGATAGAACAGTTTTTCATCAGTTTGCCTTTCTCCCAAGAGTCTAACTAACTCTTTTCTTTCATTGTAGGCAGATAGATAGAGGGGGAATCCCTGGTAATGATAAAACTGAATAGAAATTGCTTAGACACCAGCCCTGAAGTAGCCCAAAGGCATCTTCTTTTTGAGACGCAAATATTAAGATCAATGAAGATGAAGAAAACACGACATCTCTTTGAGAAGGTTGAACCTCCTCTATAAAGGAGAAGCTTCAAGAGAATCTAAAGGTCATGGTCATGATAGGCATATGAAAAGGTCTTCAAGAATTCAAGGTTCAAAAAAAAAAAAGAATTCAAGGTTCAATCCCTGGTTCCTCTGGTGCCCAGGCCACAGACTTCTGGTGAAGATTCATTACTGGCAGTTCTTGCCTCAGTCTTGTTGGAAGGAAGAAATCCCATATTCTATCACATTCTGCTAAAGATGCATTCTTACTTATCTCCACATCTGTACACTTAAGAGTGCAACATCTTAAAAAACTCTCTTAAGGAATATCATAAAACTCATAATTTCTGAGAATTTTTAGTCATTGAAATTATCATGTTTTTAAATTTTTTTAAAAATTGGGCCAAAGCGATAGCACAGCCGGTAGGGCGTTTGCCTTGCATGTGGCCAACCTGGGTTCAATCCCCGGTATCCCACATGGTCCTCCAAGCACCGCCAGGAGTAATTCTTGAGTGCAGAGCCAGAAATAACCCCTGAGCATCGCTGGATGTGACCCAAAAAGCAAATAAATAATAAAATTTTAAAAAATTGAATCACCATGAGATATACAGTTAAAATTGTTCATGATCTGGTTTCAGTCATACAATGTCCATCACCCATCTCTCCAACACTGTACATTTACCACCAACAACATCCCTCGTATCCTTCCTGCCACCCCCGTCCCAACCCAGCCTCCTCTATTGCAGGCACTTTTCTTCTTTTTCCTTCTCTCTCCTTTAGGGCATTATCATGGTCCTTTACCCACTTTCAGCACACAGTTCTTGTCCAGAGTGGTCATTTCCAATTATCATTGTCATAGTGGTCCCTTCTCTACCCCAGCTGCTTTCTCCCTCAGCACTTAAGGCAAGATTCCAACCATGGACCGGTCCTCCTGTTCCTTATTTCTACTGACCTGGGGTATTAGTCTCATGCCATGTATTTTATATTCCATAAATGAGTGCAATCATTCTATAATGTCCCTTTCCTTCTGTCTCATTTCACACAACATGATACTCTCCATGTCCATCCATTCATAAGCAAATTTCATAACTTCATTTTTCCTAACAGCTGTGTTGTATTCCAATGTGTAGATGTATCATAATTTCTTTAACAAGTCATCTGTTCTCAGGCAATGGATTATTTCCAGATTATAGCTATTGTGAATAGTGCTACAACGAACACAAAAGTGCAGATGTCACTTCTGCCATGTGTTTTTGCACTCCGGGGGTATATTCTGGGAGTATTGCTGGGTCATATAGAAGATCAATTTCTATTTTTTTTAGGTATACCTATTGTTTTCCAAATAGGCTGGACCAACAACAAATGAGAGTCCCTTTCCCCCCCTACATCTATGCCAGCACAGTTTGCTTTTGTTATTTTTGATGTATGCCAGTCTCTGTGGTGTGAGACGATATCTCATTGTTGTTTTGATTTGCATCTCCCTGATGATTAACAATGTAGAGCATTCTTTCATGTGCCTTTTGCCTTTTGGTCATTTGTACTTCTTTTTTAAGGAAGTTACTGTTCATTTCTTCTCCCCATTTTTTGTTGGGGTTGCATTTTTTTTCCTTGTAAAATTCTACCAATGCCATATATATATATATATATATATATATATATATATATATATATATGATACTGACTCGTTATCTACTAGTAATTTGGTAATGCCACAAAACAAGAAAACCTCAAAGAAATGGTTAAATTCCTGGATACCCATGACATCCCAAGGCTGAACCAAGAAGATTTGGAATACCTGAACAGACCTATCACTATCGAGGAAATTTAAATGGTAATCAAAAGTCTCCTCCAGAACAAAAGTCCTGGCCCAGATGGATTTACTAGTATATTATTTCAAACCTTTAAAGAAGACCTATCTTCAATCCTTTCCAAGTTTTTCTAGGAAATTGAAAATACAGAAAGACTTTCAAACAGTTTCTATGAGGCAAATATCATCCTGATATTAAAAGTAGACAGAGATACCACCAAAAAGGAAAGAATTATAGACTAATATCCATGATTAATACAGGTGCAAAGATCCTCAACAAAATACTAGCAAATAGAACCCAATGGCTCATCAAAAAGATCATACATCATGACCAAGTAGGACAAAATCTTAATTGGGAGACAAGAAAATGTTTGAAGAAAGAGCACATAAAAAGATAATTAAAGTTAAGGGAAATGTGATAACAACAATAGTGTTTAATACTCTAGAGGAATTTGTAAAAATAATTTATATTTTCAATGAATGCCTTAGCTGATAAAAGACTCTTGATTGACAGTAACAGAGAGATAATAAAAGGGTTAAGGCATTTGTTTGCATACACATGATCCTGGTTTCATCCCTGGTACCCCAAGCACCATCAAGAGTTGCCCCTGGGCGTAGAGCCAGGAATAATTCCTGAGCACAGCTGGGCTGTGGCCCAGATAGAAAGAAGGGGGGAAAGGAAGAAAGAAAGAAAGAAAGAAAGAAAGAAAGAAAGAAAGAAAGAAAGAAAGAAGGAAGGAAGGAAGGAAGGAAGAAAGGAAGGGAGAAAGAAAGGAAGAAAGAAAGGAAGAGAGAGAGAAACTTGGGGTTGGACAAGTTCTTGGAAATTAACTCTTTCCTCCTCCTTTATATAGATAGGAAAAATGAAGTGCAGGGACACAAGGGTGGCAGAGCTAGGAACCAAATTAAAAATGTATAATGTTGAACCCATTTTGCCTAGCAAACTTCTTACCCTAAAGAAGCCTTCAAGCACTGATAACCACCCTTCATTTCCCTCAGTACATACAGGCAAGATGACCATTACCTTTTCTAAGCAACCACCTACAGAGGTAGTATAGGATGAAGCCTAGGACCAAGGAGACAATGATGATGGTCACAGCTAAGATGATCCAGAAATTTCTCCGTAATTGATGCATTGCAGTGGAATCTGAGAAAAATAGAGATACATGTGCTTGGGATTAGGCAGTCACCATCTGTGATAGGTTCAATGCTACATCCTGCCAACCAGCATTTAACAAACTTCAGGCAAGTCACCTAACCTCTGAGCCTCAATCAGTATCATCTATATATGGGACTGAAACCATCTACAATTTCACATGGGGGGATTTCTGAAGTTTAGATTTAAGATGTGTGTTATTGTTTTGGTTTGTGTCTCCCTGATGCAGGCCATTCTTTTATGTGGCTTTTGGCCATTTGTATTCGACATAATCTCAGCTCTTTCTCTTTTCCTCTTTTTGGGCCACACACTGAAGTGTTCAAGGACAAATCCTGGTCCTATGCTTACGGCCATTCCTGGAAGTGCTGTGAATGAAGAGAGGTCAGCTGGGTGTGAGGAAGGTGCCTTACTCCCGACACTATCTCTCTGGTCTATCCACTCTTTCTAATACTGTCACATAACTTCATTTTCAATAAGGGAGATAGAAATTTGAGTTGTTTTCTTTGTGGAGGTGGGTATTTAAAAGGTGATCTGATAAGTCGTTTGAAGTGAGGCATAACCAGAAAAGAGAAGGTCAAATTGCAAAAAGAAAAAAAGTCTTTAAGAAAAAAATAATAGTAACTTGGGGACTGAAGGCTGGATCTGCAAGAGTCTTAGATGAGGGTGACAGTAGAGGGAGAGATTAAGAAGAAAGTGTAATTTATAAGACTGTAAAAATAAGCCTGAGTTTAATTCCTGGCACGGCCTCTCCTGAGCACTTCCAGATTAGCTCTGGAGCACTTCCAGGCTGACCTAGAGAGACATACAAAAAAAAAGAAAAAAAAAGAAAAATCATATTGGCAGTAAGAGAATAAATCTAAATGTGGTCTTATTATTGCAGGCAAGTAGGTGGGGTCCCCCCACAATGAGTTTGTTTGGAAAAGAATAAAATCAAGATGTGCCCCAGAGTGATAGTACAGCAGGTAGGGCATTTGCCTTGTATGCAGCTGACTCAGGTTTGATCTCTGGCGTTCCATATGGTCCCCCAAGTACCGCCAAAAGTAATTCTTGAGTACAGAGCCAGGAGTACCCCTGAGCATCACCAGGTGTGACCCAAAAAGCCAAAAAAAAAAACAAAAATGAAAACAAGATGTAACTTAAAGGAGATGACTAATCACCATACTGAAGCTTCCCAGAAGCAGGAAGAGCGACCCCTTTGAGATACAAATATTGAGCTCTTTGGAGATAGAGAAAATAAGGCTCCATCCAGAGAATGATGACTCTTGTCAAAGAGGGAAGCTCCAAGAGAATCTGAGGGATGTCATAAGACTTGGAAAAGGCCACCAAAAGTGAGAGTCTTACCCCTTGGCAAAATACTACCAAAAGGCTCTGATCCAGATGGCATCAGCTTGGGGTAAACCCTACTATACAACCACCTTTGTAAAGGCATATGGTGCATTCTCTATCTTTTGGATAATCAATACCTCAACCTCGGGTCGGCCATGTTGGCTGCGTGCAAGGCAAACGCCCTACCGCTGTTCTATCGCTCCAGCTATTGATATTTCGCCCGAACGGCAGAGACTGGCAAGCTCCCCGAGACGTATTCGATATGCCAAACACAGTAACAACAAAGTTTCCAATGGAGATGTTACTGGGCCTGCTCGAGCAAATCGATGATCAACGGGAGGGCCTCTACCTTTACCTTTACCTTAATACCTCAACCTAAGATGTATTATTCTTTTATTTGGCTTTATGATACATTCTCCATCTTGAGGTCAACTGATGTATACTTTCAACTTTTTCTGCTTTGAAGAGGACAATGTTCTCTCCTTACACAAGTCTGTCTCTTTCTACCCTCTTATAAATAAAACTATTTCCTTAATAAAACTATTTTGTTTCTTTACTTAACTCCTCTTGAAATCATTTCTGTGAGGTAATGACACAGTCCTGGAAAATCTAGGCAAAAGTTAGAACTAACTTCTCTTTTCCTTCAAAGAACAATTCCTCACTCCAGCCTGAGCTCCCTGAGAAATAAGGTAGTGATGGCCATTTCCTACACCACGTAGTTTAAGCTTACTCTAGACACAGTTTGACAGCTACCATGTAGGACTGGTACTATGTAGGTGCTAATGGCAGACTTTACCAGTCCTAACTCTCCTAGGCATTTCCCCAAGTGACTGAGGTTGGTTGAGCAGGAAGACAGTAGCCTTCTTTTCTTATGGCCTTGCTCTTAACTTCATAGAAGTCGTCTACATCACTTGAGTCAGGTGATACACAGCATAATTCACAATTCACAACAATAAAACACAACAATTCACAATAAAACAATAAAATAAGTCACCTGAAGAACCTGCCCTTTATAATGGGAAAAGGGGAGGTAGTGGGAACTAGCTTCTCTCACCTACATCTCTACAAAAAGAGGCAAAAATCATGTCAGGTAAAGGAGTTGTCAATAAAACTCTGTGATTATTATTTTTATATAAGTATAACTTACACGATGCTGTGTGTGATTTATATCTCAAGAGAACTTGGAGTGGGGAGAGAAAAAGATTTCAGAAAATTCCCATAGAAGAAAGTGATCAATGCATGCTAGTATCAGTCTTGAAGTGTTCTCTATAATGCTGCATTTAAATCTTCTGTTACCATCACTTATTTAATAAAATTTCACAATAAAATCTTGTGTGAAGAGAATTTGGGAAGAAATGACACATGTGCAGTAAATATTCAAGCCAGGGTGACATAGGATAAATAGGGGAACAACAGCTGGCAGGCTCCAAGTGATTGTGGAAACAGAATGCAAAATGGACTCAAAAACTTCTAGAAATTCAGGGAGATCTTGGGAAGGGGGCCAAGCTCCCTTTTCCCATGGAATGGTCATTTTTGACAGTTCGCGTAAATATGAGAGTAAAACTTATTTGTTAGCTCTGGGAGACATCCTGGCCTACCCTAGTAATATAGAAATTAGTACTCTGTGTTTAACCAATGAAAATTGACCTATGTGGTACCATTTTAGATTCACGGCTTTGATTAACATTAGCCATATCTGGGATAAGGATGTAGGTTAGCAGTAGAGTACATGCTTTCATATAAGAGACTCTTGTTTCAACCTCTGCCCTGCAGGGGGAAAAATGAATCAATGAGTTAGGACCATAAATCTTCACATAACAGTTCCAGTTCTGATTCCAAGAACCAAATGGCTCTCCAAGCACTGCAAGTATTAATCACTAAGTACCCATCACTCCACCCAGAATATCCCTTTAAAGCATTCTCACATGTGACCCCCAAAATAAAAATAGACATACAAAAACACATCAACAGGAACTCAAGCATGTTACAAAGAAAAAAGGCTTTAGCAGTAGCCTGCTAAAGCCAATGTTATTGCAAAAAAACTCTACCTGGGCTTACTGTTTTAACATGTGCATTATTGGTATAATGTCCTCACTCTGTAGTTAGGATTTTTAGTTTATAACTGGGATCTTTTAGTATCAAGGCTTACTACTTAGAATGTGTTTCTCAGCATAGTGTCTTCACTGTGTAATTAGGGTTTTAGTTGTAATTAGGAGTTTTAGTTTCAAAGTTCATTTCTTTTGTAAAAGTTTGGCTAGATAAAATATTTTCTTTGGGAGGGTAGAAAGACAGCACAGGGATCAAAACACCTGCCTTACATGCAGCCAATCTTGATTTGATCCCTGTGTGTGACCCCAAAACAAAACAATTATCTCCTTTGGCTATTAGTGACGTAGTATATAAAGTTAATATTCTGAAAATTAATTTTTTTTGCTTTTTGGGTCACACCCGACGATGCTCAGGGTTTACTCCTGGCTCATGCACTCAGGAATTGCTCCTGGCGGTGCTCAGGGGACCATATGGGGTGCTGGGAATTGAACTTGTGTTGGCCATGTTGGCTGCGTGCAAGGCAAACGCCCTACCCGCTGTGCTATCGCTCCAGCCCCTCTGCAAATTAATTTTTTGTTTGAAAATAAGTTTTGTTATTTATTCACATTGGTAAATATACTGGGGATTTACCTTTTTTCTTGCTGTTGTTGTAGGGATTCCAGGGTCAAGGGCCTGACTACTCCCAGTAGTGATCAAGCTATCAGGATCACATCTATGCTGTTAGTGGGTACCATGCAATATTTAAGATCAAAACCATACCCCTGTAGATGCAAGACATGTGTTCTGCCACCTCAGTCATCTCCCTTGCCCTAGGTATTTACTACTAAGCAAGTAATATATCAACTTCCCAGGAGAACTTACCTCTCAGAATGCACTATGACAGAAGTTTTCTTGTAGATAACATTTTTAGAATGAACAAAAAATAGAGGAATAACAAAGAGAAAAATAAAAAACAAGATCCTGGAAAATTGACTCTTAGTTATGGGCCTTTGAATTAATTTGGTTTATTGAGATGCAAGAAGTTTAAAAGTCATGCTGGATTTAAAATAAATTTAAATGACACCACATAGCAAGAGAGAGGCTTTGGGTTTAATAAATCTATATTGGAGTTTCTTCTCTTTTTTTATACTAAAGAATCATTCTTTAAATTTATTCCTTTATTGCAATGTGAATAGTAACCACTATTTTGTCTATTAATATGAAAAAACAATTTCTTTTTCTTAATTAAACTTTTTTTTCTGAGGACATATTCTACATTTTATTTACATTTCAAGACTAACTTTAATCCCAAAATCACATAGCCATACACCTATTTCCTTTTTGTTGATTTCACTTATAGCATGGTTTGTCAAAGACTGTAAACAAATCTTTACCATGTCTGTTACATGTAACGCACAGGAATGGCTTTTAACAGAAATTCATTGATCTCTTCACGACATTTTTTTAAAATTATAAATACAGGTATCAAAACAATCCTGAACTTACTTTTGATACTACTACTAATCAGCACCCACACTGCTTTAAAATTTAACACATTAATTAAACTTTTTAAAAAATTATTTTAATTTAGACAAAATTCATAGCTGTTAATACAATTCTAGGGTTGAAGTTGGTTAGGTAACAGCTCAAATATTAAAATCAATAAGCATAAAAATCAAGCATTATGTGAAAATTGTTGTAACTTATGGGGTTATTAAGTCTTTGCATAAGAATTTACTAAGCTGTGTGTTGCTTGTTGAGCCTTCTGTATTATTGTTTTTGTTTCCTAAGTTTAATTGGCTTCTATGTCATTCTCTTTTCTCATTTGATGTGCTCCTACTGGAATTTCAGTATTGAGGAGTTAGGAGATGCCTTGTCGCAGTGTATATGGCCCTGACATCCAGAGACTTCAGAATCTATGGCCTGGGCCAATGAGTTGACATGACAGTGACTGTGAGAGGTGGGCATGGAAGCAGGACTTTGAGAAGTATTGGGTGTCAGGGGAAGGCTGCCCACCTCAGCTCAGAGAAGACACCAGAGTTCCCAGCCTAGACACTGGGGTACCTGAAATTATTCTCATTTTGGTATCTCTGTAGAGAGTATTAGTGAAGCGGTGGAATCAGGTTCTTGGTGTGATTGCAGCAGTGAGGTGTGGGTTGGCTGCTGGAGCTTTGGCAGGGCAGGTACCCGCCTCTCAAGGGTGCTCCACAGTTTTCCAGGAACCAGTGTTTTTTGGGGGGGGTTACACCCAGCGATGCACAGGGGTTACTCCTGGCTCATGCACTCAGGAGTTACCCCTGGTGGTACTTGGGGGGCAATATGGGATGCTAGAAATTGAACCCGGGTCGGCCATGTGCAAAAAACCCGCCCTACCCACTGTGCTATTGCTCCAGCCCTGGGACCAGTGTTTTTATAAATTTTAGCTGTTTGGCTAGCATCTCCTTGGAGATTTAGTTATGAATCAGGAGAGCAGGGCTAGTGGGTGAGTCAACATGGCAACAGTTGTGGAATATGGGTGAAGCTGCTGGGGCTTCTGGGGCTTCAGGAAATAGAGGGGTAAAGGCAGTGGTCAGGGGTGGCTGCCCATCTTAAACCCAAAAAGACACCAGAGTTTAGAATGTCATCTTCTATTCTGGGAATATAGCTCAATGAGCTGGAGCATACACTTGCATGCAGGAGCCATGATTCAATCCCCAGCACCACCAAAGATAACCCCTGAGTACTGATTAAGGTGTGAATCCCAGCACCACTGGGAATAGCAAAAATTAATTAATCAATCAATTAATTAATTAATAGACCCCCATCTTCTTAGCTCTGGGGAACAGCTATAAATGGAAGGCAAATTGGCAGGCAAAGGTGAGAAACAATTTTCTTCCTTACATTCTCTCATTCCTTTGTCTCTTACTCAGATGTGCCTCTTGGCTCTTTGTCTATTTTCCTTTCATATTTTCTATATCTCTTTCTTGTTGTTTTACTCTAGAAGTAATTCTTCAAAAAGTAATGTAAACATACTCTCTAGAGCTATAGGAAAAAGATCAAGACACAAGAGTTAGAAGCTTTTGCATCTGGACATCCCTGCTGGCCTATAGCATCTACTCAGGGCCCTGGTGTTCCCATCTTACCTGCAGAAGCAGCTGAACATCTCACTCAGTTCTTCAGTGTGGTCAAAGGCCCATGGATACATTGGTGGTGTAGAGGTGTGGTATAGTTATATATCTATGGGCTGGAGCGATAGCACAGCGGGTAGGGCGTTCGCCTTACACGCGGCCAACATGGCCGACCCGAGTTCGATTCCTCCGCCCCTCTCAGAGAGCCCGGCAAGCTACCGAGAGTATCCGATATGCCAGACACAGTAACAACAAAGTCTCCAATGGAGACATTACTGGGCCCGCTCGAGCAAATCGACGATCAACGGGAGGGCCTTTACCTTTATATATCTATACCACAACAATATTGTAAAGTATGAAACCCAAACTATAGTTAACCAAACTTGTAAATGTGACTGTCAAGGAGGTAGACTGGGAGTGGGAGAGAATCCTGGGAAACTGGCGGAGGGAAGGTGACACTGGTGGTAGAGTTGCTGTTGGAACACTGTATTCCTGAAACTCTACAATGAATAACTTTGCAAATTACGATGCCTTAATAAAAAAATTAATTAAAAATCTTTTGCATCTAAGAAACTTGACTGTATGAAAGAATAAAAGTGGGAAGACAAGAAGTATGACTTTTCATTATAATCACTCTGAATTACTTAATTTTTAACTGTTTGTATTTAGTGTGATAAACCTGAAAAAAAATCAATCAACCAGTAACTTCCACTAAAAACCATTACTTATATTTCAAGACCCAAGAAATGTCATTTTAATCAGATTTCTGGAGAATAAACAGCAAGTAGAATGATGCAGAATGTGAAGGAATAAGAAGGAGAAGGAGAAGGAGAAGGAGAAGGAGAAGGAGAAGGAGAAGGAGAAGGAGGAGAAGGAGAAGGAGAAGGAGAAGAAGAAGAAGGAAGAGGGGAAGAGGAGGGGGAGGGGGAGGGGAGGGGAGGAGGGGAGGAGAGGGGTGAGGGGGAGGGGGAGAAAAAGGAGAAAGTGAAGTTCTGCAGAGTGAATATTTTGCAGTTTTATTCTCACAGGGTGAGTATTTTTCGAAGTTTTGTTCTTACAAAGTGAGTATTTTGAAGTTTTGTTCAAAATGTGTTGAGTTCACTAAGCATTGTTAAGTGCTTTGCCATTTAACATTATTTGATAACCTGCTCCATTTCTTTTTCTTTTTTTTTCTTTTTTGGGTCACACCTGACCATGCACAGGGGTTACTCCAAGCTCTGCACTCAGGAATTACTCCTGGCGGTGCTCGGGGGACGATATGGAATGCTAGGAATCAAACCCAGGTCGACCACATGAAAGGCAAATGCCCTACCCGCTGTGCTATCGCTCCAGCCCCCTGCTCCATTTCTGACCTGGGCAGAGGGTTTACCCCATTAGTCAATCTGGTAGTTCCCCCACTCCCAGGGTTCACCATATAGAGGCCAAACTTAGTGCAGACACCAGATCGGCACAGCATACTACAGCCCAGATCTCCTGGACTCAAAGATCCTTCAACCTCAGTCTCCCAAGTAGCTGGGACTACAGACACGAGCCACTGCGTCCAATGCTCACATCATTTGAGGCTCACCAAAATATCATTTTTTAGACAGGCAACTAACAGGAAAGTAAAATGACCTGTCCAAGAAGAGAGTGCTGATCTGGAGTGATAGTACAGCAGTACAGTACAAAGAAGCCTCATGAGGGACTTGACTATTAGCCAAGCTAGAGCTCTCACCAGGAATCAGATCAGCTGTAGCCTTGATCTCCCACTTCCCAGCCTCCAGAATTGTAAGCAGTAACATTCTGTTGTTAAACCATTCCCCCCAAAATAATAAAATGGCTCCATGTGTTTAAACATAAAAAAATGTTCTCTTTAATTTCCTTTGTTGTTACCATGTTTGCAATAATTAACTTGGGGTCACTGTCACTGTCCTCCTGTTGTTCATCGATTTTTCTCGAGCAGGCCCAGTAACATCTCCATTGTGACAACTGTTACTATATTTGGCATATCGAATATGACACGGATAGCTTGCCAGGCTTTGCCGTGAGGGCAAGATACTCTCTTGAGTATACTCTTGGTAAACTATCGGTAGCTTGCCTGGCTCTCCGGGAGGGGCGGAGAAATTGAACTCGGGTCAGCCATGTTGGCATGTTGGCCTTTTGGCCGCATGCAAGGCAAACGCCCTACCCGCTGTGCTATCACTCCAGCCCTAACTTGGGATCTCACACCTTTAATTTCATTGCATTGCATATAAAACTGAAAAAAAATGTTTAAAAATAAAATTAAAACTTCCTCTGTTTTTGCTACATCAAAGATTCTGATTTTATTGACCTGGGGTAAGGCCCAGACATTGGAGATTTGTTTGTTTTCATAAAATTCTCCAATTGATCCTAATCTGAGATAAAGATTGAGAACCACTAATATTAGTATCACTTAATCCTTAATATAACCTTCCAGTGGGGGAAGAAGTAGGGTTATTATCCTTGTTTTACAGTTGAATTCAGAGATATTAAGCAACTTGCTAAAGGCAACACAGCTAATAGACTGAGCAAAGAGTGCAGCTCAGTTTATGCTCTTTTAACTTTAATGCAAATTTATGCTTTTCGTGACACAAAACTAATAAACATTTCTTTTCATAATAGCACTGAAAGCAGAAACTTTGCTTACAAATTTCTAATATTGGCAAGACCTCAATTTTTCGCTGTATCTTGTTCTGCTTCAGAACCTCAATATGAAAATATACTACAGAAAAGTAACATGCAGGGGGAGAGACAGAACCTTGGGCAGAGCAGAGACTTTGCATGTAGAGGCCCAGATTCCATCCTGCACACTGCACTGCACCACCAGGAGAACCCCTTTCCCCAGCACAGAGCTGAGGAGCTCCTCCAAATGTCAGAGCGTATGGTTCAAAAAGAGTCACCTGTCCATGAGCTAATTCACAAGTTAGGGTTTTACACATTCTATCTCATTTAGCCTTCACAACATTCAGTAAGGTAATGAATAATATCATGATTATGATATCATAGATGACACGGGGCTGGAGCAATAGCACAGCGGGTAGGGCGTTTGTCTTGCACGTGGCCGACCCGGGTTTGATTCCTCTGTCCCTCTGGGAGAGGCCGGCAATGTACCGAGAGTATCTCGCCCACACAGCAGAGCCTGTCAAGCTCCCCGTGACATATTCGATATGCCAGAAACAGTAACAGGAAGTCTCACAATGGAGACGTTACTGGTGCCCGCTTGAGCAAATCAATGGACAATGGGAGGACAGTGCTACAATAATGCTACATAGATGACAAGACAGAGGCTTAAAAGAACTCAATAACTGGTCCCAGATTTTAGAACTACTAGAAAGAAAAATCAAAAGCCAAACTCAGGAGTATCTGACTCTCTAAGGGCCCCATTTTTTTTTCTTTTTGCGTCATACCTGGCAATGCTCAAGGGTTACTCTTGGCTCTGCACTCATAAATTACTTCTGGCATTGCTAGGAGGACCATATGGGGTGCCCGGACTTGAACCAGCGTCAAGCACATGCAAGACAAACACCCTACTACCCACTGTGATATTGCTCCTCTAGGGTCCAAATTTGTGACCATAATGCTGGGTTTCTCATGACTGGGAAAAGTATTAAAGTGCAGAGACTAGGATTCTAAGTCCCTATTCCTTTTGACTTCTGGTTTATAGGTCTGATGTAGGGAGCTTGGGATTCAGCATTTTATTTACTTTCATTTATTTATTTAAGTTTTTAGGTCAGTTCCAATGCCCTGTAGGGACTATGGCTGCCTCGGTACTCAGTTGTTGAACATGAGGACCATGGGTTCTTGTAGCCAAACTCACGCTCCTTAGGTGCATAGGATGTGCCCCAATCCATTGAGCTATCTCTCTGAATCAAGGATTTAATAATTTGTTAGTTTGTGTGTGTGTGTGTTTCTGTGTTTGTGTGTGTATGTATGTGTGTGTTGCTAGGAATCAAATCTAGGACCTCCGTGTGTAAAGCAAGTGTCCTACCACTGACCCACATCCCCAGCCCCAAGAGTAAAAGGTATTTTACATTTTAATGTGAAAGTCTTTCCAGATAATTCTAAGGTGTGTAAGCTAGATAATTGTTTTTGTATTAATCGTCTGATGCTGTAGCAGCAGCAACAACAACTAGGTTGGAGTAAAAGGCATTGAGAAGTCTTCTCAAATGTAAATACCTTTCTTACCAGCTTTTCACAGTACCCAAACTTCCATCACCAATTCCCGATCTCAATCACAATCTCTGTGATTCCCCTTTTTTTAAATTCCCCTCCAGTAAGTATATTTGTCAGGGTGTGCCAAGCATTGAGAAAGAGAAACTGATTTTCACTAGAGAGTGAATAATTTAAGACTTCCTTCCTCCTTTCAGCAATGGCAGGAACAGGGGCATTTTAGAATCTTGTCTAAAGTCCCATGAGAGGGGCCAGAGAAATACTATGGGAGATAATGACACTTACTTGCCTAGCATACAGATGACCAATGTAATTTAATTCCACATGTGGTTCCCTGGGCACTACCACAGTTCACTTCTGAGTAAAGAGCCAGAAATAGCCTCTGAGCACTGCTGGGTATGACTTCCTTCCAACCTCCAAAAGCTCTAGAGTTCAGGTAGACCAAGATGACCCATAAATGTTCTGTAGTCTAGACATCAACCCCCACTTCTTACCACTCCTTCCATGCTGCACAGATGTTCCCAGATCTCATCATCCTTAGACTTTCTGCCTCATTCTCCTTTGTCATCATGCCCTCAGGACAGACTGAATCTCTTCCACTCTGAAACCTTTGTTTGTGACTGATAACCCTTTAAAGAAGGCAAAGGAATCATGAATTTCAAGAAAGATGGAGCTACTCTACATAAGAAAATTTTTTGCTACAGAGGAAGATCTAGAGTATTATGCTGAGTGAAGTTAGAGGTAAAAGGACAGACAGAATAAACTCTCTAATAGGTGGGATTTAAAGAAACATAGTAAGGGAATAACAAAGGCCCGAAGGCAATGGAAATGAAGAACATGAGAACTGGCCTTCAGCAGCAAATGTTCCACGGTGATGGGTGTTGTGGGGTGGGAAGGGTAGAAATAG